ATCTGCACGGCCGGCCATTAATTTAAGTCCACTGTAAGTCCCAAGGTCAGCAGAGCATAGCAGGCTGCTGAGCAACAACATGGCTACATGCAGGGTCCAAGCGTGCCAAAGGCTAGAGACCATTCTCAAAGCTTCTTCTTAAATACAGGAAGCAGACCATATCCCAAAGGCAGCTACTCATCTGCTTGTGGTAGATTCCACCATGGAGTTGATTGCCAGTCTCATCATGGGGAATAATTACCACCAGCTGCCCAGCCACTCAACCAGGCACAGCCAAGTTGACACACAAACTGAACTACCACACTCATGGATGCCTCTCACCTATTAAACAGATGTATTATCTGTTCATACCTGTATATTCCATTCCTGCTTCCTCATCTGCCTCACCCCATACCTGCCAGCTGGAATGCCTTTTTCCCAAATCTTTGTCTATCTAAATCTAGCTTTCCCTCTAAGTTCACATGTCACTACCTCTGGGAAGCCTTCTATAATTGCACCAGCCAAAAGCAGCATTTCCTTTTTCTGGCCTCCTCCAGCAGTATCTAAGCGCTTGGGTCTCAGTTTCTCCATCTGTAAAATGCAACTGTGAGGACGAAGTAAGATAATCCGTGTAAAACCTCAGCACAGTCCTGGCCCACAGTAGGCACTCAGTAAATGACATCAGTTCATTATGATGTTATGGTCCTCTCCCTTCCTCCTGGTCTCTTCCGTGGCAGGATCACAGCTCCCTCAGGCTCCAGCACACAGTAGGCATCCACCTGAATACTTACTCAGCTTACCAGCAGGTGGCCCCACACCCCAATTAACCTGCCCTGTCCACCACCTCCCAGCTGCTGAGTCCTCTGAGTTTCTTCTGGTCAGGGAAAATGGAGAAAAGATAGAACAGTGTACTGGGCAGCCTGACACACCACCTAACAGAAACAGGACTCATTAGTGACCAAGCCTTTGAGCTTGGCTGCCCCTTTTCCCTTTTCTACCGCAGTTCTGCCCCATCATTGTCAGGGTTACTCCCATTTAACAAGTAAGAAAACCAAAGCCCAGGGAGGTGCATGATCTGCTTGAGACCACAGAGCATTCATCACACAATCATCCATCAACCAGTGATGGCACATCTGCTGAAGACGCTGGCAAGGATCTGGCCCTCATTACCAATGCCTTATTTCACTAACAGAGAACCTCAGAAAGGGAAACTGTCTTGCCCAAGGTCTCAGGTGGACCAAAGCTCAGGTCTCCTGGCTCTAAACTAAACAACTCCATCCTACACCACACACAGGATGGAAGATAAAATTCCCTGCCTGTCAGCTTCAGCGGTTCCAAGCGGCAGGCATGCTGGCTGCTCAGCCAGATAAGAGAAAGAATTTGACTCTGCTGGGCTTTGGGGCAGCTGTGAGGACCCACCAGGGATGAAAGGCTCAGCCCAAGGCAGCCAGGCCCAAAGGCAGCCACCCAGGGCCTGGATCCCCTCCCTACACCTGCTGGAGACAAAAGAGTTTCAAGCAAACCTGGAAGTACTGAGACCCCTGCAGAGGCGGCGGCAAGCAGCATTTTGAGGCTCAACTCTGATGCTGCAGTGAAGGGGCTGAACTGAGGGCCACAAGGGGCTGGTGTGGAATAGTAATGAGCCAGGCTGTTGGGAACAAGCCAACACCAGGTTCACAGGACAGGTTGGGTCAGGGGGAACACTGCGAGGAAGAAACATCCCCCACCCCACATGCACTCATAAACACACATGCATGTGCTGCACACACTTCTCACAGAATCCTTTACTGAAAGCTCCCAGGGAAGCCACCATGGGGCCTGTAGAAATGCCTGTGTACCTGGACAGGCTGATGTGAATGTGTCATCATTTGGCATAGCTCACCTGATTCTAGCTGCTATCAATGATTTGCTTCCATTTCACAATCACGTTGAGGCCAAAAGAAGAGTGTGACTTGGCCAAGCATCCAGTCTCCCAGTCCTGGCTTGTGAGAATTGCACATGATTTTGGAGACTAGGGGAACGACCCTGCGACCCTGTGCTAGGCTTGTCTCTGGGCCAGGTTCCTTAAGGGCTCTTGGAAGAAGGCAGGCAGACATGAGAGATAAGGAGGGTAATCTTTCTATTCTCTCCTGTGCTAATTGCCTTTGCTCCCCAATCCTACCCCACAATCACAGAGGAGACAGACATGTTCCTTCCTCCTTAATGGCCCCCACCCCACCCCCGCCCCATTCGAAATAGCAACAGGCCAACTTTGACCAATCAGAGTTCTTCCTTGGCTCAATCAATCAGAATCCTTCCCTGGGACTGACATGTAGACACCTCAGCACTTGCCCTCCCAACTAGGACTGCTGCAGCCATGAACTTGCACATGGAGAATGCTAGTGCAGGTGAAGGATCAAGGCCAACTACAGAGAGTAGCACAGATCTGAGGGGCAGATAGAGCCCCACCAGGCATTCTTCCCAACCACTAAAACCAAAACAAAAGCTGTTGTTGTCAACTCTGATTCATGGTGACCCTGTAATGTTGCATCAATTCCTCCTTTGGCTTATACTACCCCATGACACCCCTCCTCCTTACCCCACATCCTTCCTTCATAGACTGCATCAAGGTTGTGATCAACACGTGTTTCATGATATTTTGTCCTTCTCCCTCATAAGCATATACTCTCTGGGATGAGGCCCCTGACTGAAGCTTTCACTGGTACCTCCCTTGCACCCAGGGCCTGGGGCACAATGGGTACTTGGTAGCCAAATGAGGGAGTTCATCTGTGTCTCTGCAGCTTTGTGGTTAGACAAATTTTACCTGCCTTTGCTTCTGGTGAAAACAGACTACACTAGGACTGGCCTGAACAGCAAGCCCATGGAGCCCCCAGAATTCATCTGGGGAGCTCAAGGGCCCCACAGAGGGTGGGCTGCCCTCTTTCATGCCCAGGACTGGAACTAAGGCCCAGGAGGCACAAGTGATGCTGCGCTAGGAAGCAGGCCCTTGGGAGTGAGACTCTGTGGGTGAAGAAGACCTGATTTCCTAGGTGAAAAGTCCCAGAGGTAGATTTGGAGCTGAGCAGTTTCTCCCCTGGACAACTCTAGGTACTTCTCTCCTTCTTGATGGCTAAAGATGCTTAGGCGGTTAGTGGGTGCTTTGCATGAGCGTGCAGCACAAACCTTCATACACATCATCTGCCTGAATGCCCAGATGACTCCTCGAGGTGGGCACTCTTATCATTTCCACTACACAATCAAGGAAACTGAGACCAAAGAGGCTGCGTGACTTGCCCAAGGTCAACAGGCTAGGAAGCAGTAGAACATTTGAGGAGTGCTGGCGTGTCCCCATCTTCTACCATCTTGGCACCCTCCTTCATGCCTCGAGGGAAAGGGGGAGAGGTAGGGAGTGCTGCAGTTGCCAGATGAGCTCTTGGAAGGCTTGGAGGTTTCAAGAGAGGAGTTGGGGGGGGGGGAATGCCAGCCAGGGCCCCCCTTGAGGCTGCCCATGAGGGCTCCCAAGGGCTGAGGGTGCTCTGTTGCTAGAGTAGTCAAAAGACAGTCTTCCAGTATCCCGCCCCCTCCTCTCCTCGACATTCTCGCTGCCAAATGAAATCTGGCAGCTTCTGAAAATAGCTCAGCACTGCAGCAGGCGCTCCGCCCGCCCTTCAGCAGGCTGGCACGCAGCTGGGGGTGGCCGCTGTGGGCACACGCTGGTGCACATAGGGCTGGGGGTAGGTGTCACACACACAGTGCACGGGGGTGGCACAGAGGTGGGGGCATATTGCAGCTGCCATCCTGAAGCTACTCTGACCTTTCCACGCCTGTCAAGGCCATGGTGACCCTAGAGTCAGCCTGGCATGTTTACCAGGCCTGAGGCATCCTATTCGGCTGGGGTGAAATCACTAGTGGGTGTGAGCAGCTGCCCTCAGGCCAGTTTTGCCACCCATTTAGACAAAGAGAAACCCAGGAACCAGGGAGAAATGACAAAATCATGTTTATTAATATCCTGATATAAAACCCAGCAATGTTGTTCTATCTGATGTGGTCTGGAGTTTCCCAGCCAGTGAGGGGCCAGGAAGCAGGCTGGGTATCAGGCACTTGTCAGGCCCATTATTAGGCACTTGGTATTCCAAGTCTGCTGTGGAAAGGGTGGGGCTAGGTAAACTTGGACCCTGAGGAAAGGGGTCTCTGCCCCGACTCAGACCAAGGCCAGGACTAGACCTTCTGAGCTCTGCTCAGCAGCATTCTACCACCTCAGATCTGACTCGGGAGTGTAGAAAGAGACTTCTGATTAAAGGGGAGCCTCTTGCCACTGCCCCAGGCACCCAGTCATGAACACTCCCACAAAAGTACACCAAGAGGCAGCCCCTGCCATCTCCCAGGACAGGATGGAGGAGGAGCTCTCACATAGAGGTACCAGCCTGGGACCTGGCATGCAGGTGGGGGCAGGGAGACTGTCCTAGCTTCTAGCACAGTGGCAATTTCCCAAGTGGAAAAGGGTTAAAAGCACCTCCCTCCATTCTTAGCTAAGATGAGAGACTACCTTTTATACAGGGGGCACTGACAGATGGCTAAGCCTAGGAACTCCATGGGGTAGACTTCTGAGGACCATCTGGGAGAGAGGTACAGAAAGGCAAGGCTGGACCACCCAGAGAGGCAGGAAGACTAGACCCTGCAGTCTCAGGGAGACCAAACAAGGGCAAGGTTTTGAGGGGCAACCCAGTGTGAGAGAGATCAACCTCCCCAGAAGGCAGAGGCAGACCCCTGATTACCCCTTCTCCCTCCCTCCTTCACTCACTCAGCATTCACAGACAGCAACACTATCCCCGGTCACCATGGCAACCAGTGGCCGGATGCCTTTCTCAAGGCCAGGCAGGTCTACCCACCCCTGGGAGGTGTCTCCATGGAGAAAGGAAGGCCTAGAGGCTTAGGACATGCACCAAAGTGAAGCATGTGCCAAGGTGCCACTGAGGCCACCCTGGCCAAAGGCACAGCAATGGCAGCAGGTATCTCCCCAGCCCCCAGGCTCTGGTCTCCCACTAGAGCCTGGGCTGGGACTAGAGCTCTGAAGGAGTTTTTGGTCAGGGTTCCCATCCTCAAGTTCCAAGTGAAAAATTAAAACACAACAAAATAATCCTTTTGTTAAAAAAATAACCCTGGGTCTTCCCGGCCATGGCTTCAGCATGCTCCAGTCTATCCCTCAGGCAAAGGCCTGGCTCTTCCATGACTCCATGAGCTACTGGTTGTTGCAGCCCTGTGAGCCTGAAGAGCCGCCTGCCTGTTTTTTTCTCCGCTTGTTGAGGAGCCGATTGTTAGAGGTCTTCAGATCCTTGATCTTCACCTGGTCATAGTCCACCCGCATGGTGGCCAGGGCACTGGTCATCTCCTCCTGGGGACAGACAGGAGGCTCAGAGATCAGGATATAATGACCTCAAGAGACATTAACCTCCTGCCTGGGCAGCCCTTTAATCAGTATCATAAGAACAACTTGCACTGCCCAAGTGCCCACTGTGTGCCCGGCACTGGGCCAAGCCCTTTGTATCACATAATCCTCACAACAGTCCTTTGTGGTGGGCATGTGCTTATCCACTAAGGCACAGAGAAGAGAGCAACCCCTTGGGATTACTCAGATGGTAAGTGGAGCTGGGACGTGAGGGTGCCATTGCGCTGAGTACTCAGGGCACTGGGGCCTGTAGATTATGTCCTGGCTGCCCCAGGACTCTGAACTGCCACCGCTATATGCTCAAACCCAGCCCCTGCTAAGTCTACAATCAGGCTGACCACCCGCCCAAACGCTGGTTACAAGAGAGGTAATAGTCAAAGCTTGGGGCCAAAGCCCCTTCACAGAGCCCAAAGCTTCCCTGCATTAAGGGAGTAAGATAAGAGTATTACCCTATGGGTAGTGTGACCTGTGCTCTGAGAGGCTGGGCCACTAGGCAGTCACAGACACCCTGTGCCCCAGGTATGAGGAGAGGCCAAAGGCCCAGACACTGGGTAGCCACTGCCTTGGAGTCTCTGTCTCTCCCAAAAGCCCTGGAACCTATGAGGAGGCTGAGGCAGGGCTCACCCACCTTGACTTCATCCCAGTGGTCTTTGTCTTCTTGCAGTACTCGAGCTGTGTGGAGTGGGGTCTGTGGCACCACCATTGATTGCTGGAAAGAGTCCCAAGCCCAAGGATGAGAACTTGGAGGCACTGGAGACAGCATTAGTTCCCCTACCACCCACCTACCCCTTCTCCTGGTCTCAGGTGGGAAAATTGAGGCTCAGAGAGGTGAAAGAGCCTGTCTGGGCAGTGGGAGAGCCAGGCTGTAGGTGAGGTGCTACTATACTTCTGTGAGCACCAACCCATTCCAGTCCTATGCCCAGACCTCTAGGTCTGGGCAGCAATGCCCTGGAAGCCCTGCTGCAGGACAAGGTAGAGCTCACATTGATCCAAGGATGGTTCATGAACTGAGTGATGGTCAGCCTCTCTGTGGGGTCTGTCTTCAGCAGAAGGCGGATCAGTTGCTTGGCTAGAGAGGAGAGGGGAAAGATGAAGTTGCAGGGTTCCTCAGAGCCAGTGCAACCCCCTCCCCGAACACCACAAGCTCTGTGTGGGTAGGGGCTGCATGTGCCTCATCTCACCACACATCTGCTGTGCCCAGCACATAACTGAATAACTGGGAAATATTTAGTCAGAGATCAGAGAAAAATCCCAGGGCTGAAAGGATGAGATATTTGACTGGCTGTCATGGGAAAGGAAGGCTATAGTTGTCAGCCTCGAAGATGGTACCCAAAGATCCCCACTTCCTGATATTCAGGTCTTTGTGTAGTCCCATCCCATGTGACATTAGGGTGGTCTGTGGTCAGTAGAGTATGACAGAAGCAATGATGCACTCCTCCTTGTTCTCCTTGGATTGCTGGTTGTGGGGAAGTCAGCTGCCATATCATGAGGACAGTCAAGCAGTCTATTGGGCCACCTTGGCAGTGAATCTGCTAGTCCCTCCCAAACCTTCAGATGACTGTAGCACCAGCTGACACCTTGACTGTAACCTCAGAAGAGACTCTCAGCTAAGCTGCTCTCAAATTCCTAACCCACAGAAATAGTGAATTAATAAATGTTTATTGTTCTAAGCTATTAAGTATTTGGCGTAATTTGTTAAGCAGTAATTGATATCTAATAGGGGGCAGACTTGTTTGTGGTCCCCAAAGGAGAAAATATGAATGATAGATGGGTGTTAGAGGGGCTTTGAGAAGGCACGTTTTGAGTCCATTTGGCAGATGCAGAAACTTAGGCTCAAAGAGGTTAGATGGCTTTCCTAGAGTCACACAGCTGGGAATTAGGGGAGCCAGCATTTGAACATAGGTCAGTTTGATTCCAAAGTGGTGTCTCCCAGAATTAAGACCAAGAGAGCTGGGTGGGGCATCCTGGAGCAGAGGTTTCACTCACCATCCTCAGAGACCTCTGACCACTCAGGATTGGGGAAGCCGTACTGACCAAGGCGGATCCTCCTCTTCATTCCTGGGGAGATGGCCTGGCCCGTGTTGGAGTAGAAGGGTGGGAAGCCACAGAGGCTGGGGGAAGGTGGAGGTCATTTGGCACAGTGATGGGTAGCTTCCAGGGAAGTCCCATTCTCCTCCCCAAGCCCCTGGCCAGGGAGATAGGCAATAATACCAGCTCTTGGGACTCCTGGGCACATCCCAGGAATGCCATCTGCCTTTGGCAGGGGCATATCCTTCACAGGCAGCCTGAAAGGGGAGGGGGTGTCGATGGCCAGAAGAGAAGGGCAGGCAAAATGAGGAATGACCTGTTCAAGCCCCTCACCCTTCTTCAGGGGCAGAAGTGGTATTGATGATGCAGAGTGGGGTAGGGGCAAGAAGGAGACATAGGGTGGGGGTGGCACTCACAGAATGTACATGATGACACCCAGGGACCACATGTCGCATGACTTGTCATACTTTTCTGGACCCAGGACCTCAGGGGCTGCCAGAGCAGAGGGCAGAGAGAGACTCTTAGTACCAAGGGTCTTGGAACCCAGGCAGGCTCCAAGGTAGGGAACAGGTGCCCTGGCAGGGGGATGGGGCCAAGAAGACTAGTGTCTGACACCTTCTGGGAAGGCAGCATGTGTGTGAAGTTGGGGGAAGAAAAACAGCTCCTGCAAAAATGAGCCTGCTTCTGGGCTGCGCTTTAGGGAGTAATAGCCCCCTAGCTCATTTGGGCATTGAGCTCCTTTGGCAGTTTCAACCTTGGTTGTGGGAAAAGAGCAGGAGGCTACTTTAGGACCAAGTGGGGTCCTGCCAGAGGTAAGAGGGCAGCAAATCACCGGCTGCTCCACCCTTGCCTCCCTGGGTCACAGGAATGGAGGGGCAGGTGGCAGGGCTCTAAATTCCACTACTGAACCACAAGGCCATGGTCTTCCCATCTGTGTAATGAGCTGGGTAAGCCAGAAGATACCTAACTTAAAATACTGCAAAATATACCCTGCCAAGCAAGATACCATCTCAGTTGCCTCAGGGGGCTTCCTGCCCCATAAGCAGACCTCAGGGAAGGCTTCTCCTAAGGGAGAAGAATCTTCTGTAAAGCAAGTCATAGCTCCCTGCCCCTCAGGTAAGGGGCACTTTCAGCAAGGATTTTTCTGATCTGACAGCTGCCCACTCACAGAAGAGCAGGGAGCTTTTCAAGGAAGCATGAGTATGTGCATACCCCAAGACCCCATTCTTGCCCTGGCCTAAGAGACCCTTTCCCACAAGGCAGGTGGCTGGTGCCCTGTGTCCCTCTAATATAGGAGGAAAGGCCTGCCAGTTTCCTGAATATGAATCCCAGGAAGATAAAAGCCAGAGAAAAACAACCGCAGTTGGGCTCCGTCCGAGCTGATGGCAGCCTTTTATCACATATATATTTAGAGCTGCTGTGATGTCATTCAGCTCACAGGCCACAGCCAGAATTTTCCTGGATCTATTTTCAAAAGCAGAAGCTGAAGTTTGGGAGAATATTTTTGCAGCCTCCAGCCCCCCACGTCACCCACCTTCATGCAGAAAGAACTTTCCCCCTCCCTCCTTGCTGGGCTTTAACCCTTTGCATCCTGCAACCCACCAACTGTCCCATACCACATGGTGTGCAGTAGGGGTGGGGGAGTATAAACCAAGGACTCACCCACATAATAGGGAGTGTAGCAGGGTGTCTGCAGGGCATTCTGGGTGGTTTCCTTGGCAAAGCCGAAGTCAGTGAGCTTGAGCACTGCATCTTTCTCCTTGGATGTGTACAGCAGGTTTTCGGGCTGGGCCAGAAAGAGAATATACTGGTTTGGCGTCAGGCACAAATGGGAGGATAGGCCTGAGCTGATTTGCAGCCAGACTACTCCACCACCAAACTCAGGAAGAAGCCAGATCTATCTTATAAGAAGACCTGGGCCTTGGCTGCCAACAATGTGGGCTAAATGTTGAGAAGACTAAAGTGGCTGGGGGGTGACACCCTCATTTATAGAGGGGAAAGTGAAGCAGGTATTCAGCCAAGGCTACAACTGACTGAGTGCCACAGAGAGCCCTGGGACAGTAACTTTTGATCCTGAGTTCACAAAGCTTCCATAAAATGCCAGAATGAGGGTGCTGGGAGAAGGTTAATTGCTCATGAGCCTGCACACCCAGCCTGTGGATCCACATGAGATTGCTCAAGGGAGAAGGCCTCCCAGCTCAGACTCCAGGAGCCACATAGAAGCGGTTCTTCCTGGTTGCAGAGCACAGAGAAGCCTAGGGGATTAGGGTAGTTGGAAGGGGTGAGTAGAGGAGGCAGCCTTGGAGCTGGCTTTTAATGAACAGGTAGGACCTAGGACAATAGAGAGTAGCAGGAGGGACCCAAGCAGAGAGAGGGTGATAGGACAGGAGCTCTGGTTTAGAGCCAGTGGAAGGTATTACTTAGGGTTTGTTTGAGATGATCTGATCTTGGATTGGGAAGAAAACAGGGAAGTGAGTTCAGTCTGTACAGTGACCTCTCCTCTACAGAAGGTTATTCTCTCCTTGGAGAGAAAAAAAAAAAAAGCCAGGGCCAGGGTAAACCAAGGGTTCTGAAGGTGAGTCTATCTAATATCAAAGGATAACTATACATGTTGGCAGTTCTCAGCTAGATAAAGGGTCTGGTGCAGCAGCTGGGCCCCCAGTTCTTCTCCACTAAGGTCTCAGCAGAAAGAAGCCAAGGTAGATGATGCTTCAGGCCTGGGGCAGAGTGTCCGGGAGGTAGCTTTGATGGTAGCTCACACATACGTGTTTGCACATGTGCATGTGTATGTACGTGTACGCATGCTGGGCATTTTATCCACCTTGTCCTGATGACCCCTAAAGGCCATCCTGCCAGGATATGAAATTGGAGAGTTGAGCACTGGACTATCCCACAAGCCCATCCACTGGAAGGGCAATCAAACCCAGCAACTGGAACTGCCTCTGTTCTTCCTCCAATGTCTAGCAAGTGGCTTCTTTTCTTTAAAAAGTTGGCATTAGGGGGCCTAATCTGTTGAAACTGTGGTTATTATTTCACAGAAACCCCATGAGTGTCAGCAGCCCCTCCCTGAGGCCTGACACAGTGCACATACACAAAAATCCTTGCTCAAAGAATGAACAAACGAATGAATGAATCCCAGTACAGTGTCTTACTAGCTGCACAACCTCAGGCAAGTCATTTTGTCTCTCTCCAGTTCCTCATCTGCAAAATGGGTAACGGCACCTCACTCACAGGGCTGGGTGAGGATTGAAATGCTTGTCAAGACCTATTAACTTGAGGGAGACATTCAGTTATTCTTATTGCTATTGGAACTACACAGTGTTTGAAGTAAACAAGGAAACCCATTTGGTTAGAACAGAATGAGTATCCTGGAACCATAGGAGACAAGACTAAGAAGAGTGGTCTGAGGCAGAGGGCAGAGGCCTTGAATGCCAACCAAAAAACTTGGCCTCCATCCAATGGGTGCTGAGAGTCATTGAGGGTTTTGGAGTGGGATAGTGTCCCTTCCTCTGATCCCCCAACTCTGGGTGCCAGAGCCTTACCTTGACATCCCGGTGGGCAATGTTCCGGCTGTGCAGAAACTGTATGGCGGTGCCGATATCCCGCATGATCTCTGCAGCTTCTGTAGGCATGAAGTGGGGAGGGGGGTCAGTAAAGCCAGTCAAAGGTCAGGCAGCCTGGGGTCCCCACACTTCTATCATCTCACCTCGGCATATAATCTAATGAGCCAGCACAAAATGTTGACAACATTCCTGTCACCCAGGACTCCTGTCCTGGACCCCCACCCAAATCACCCCAGTTCCATTGTTCTACATCTACTTTGGTGAGTAGTGACTGGGGTCTTAAAAGCTAGCAAGCGGCCCTCTAGATGCAACAATGGGTCCCTCCTAGTCCACAGAAAAGAATGAAGAAAATCAAGACACATGGAAACAATCAGTCCAAGCAACTAGTAGACCATGCAAACCTCAGCTTATAAGATCATGAGACCAGAAGAACTAGATGGTGCCCAGCTACCACTGTCAATCACTCAGAAAGGGATAGTGCAGGAGATCCTGGATAGACTGGGAGAAAATGTGCAACTAAACTCAAAATCATAAAAAAAAAAAAAAAAAAAAAAGACCAGGTTTACTGGTCTGATAGAGCCTGGTGAGACCCCCAAGACCATGGCCCCTAATTACCCTTCAGGTCTGGGACTGAACTCACTCCTGTGGCTTCCAGACAAACAACAGACAGGGATATAGGGTGAATATTTACATCAGGTAGATACACTCCTTAGAGCGATCAATCATGGGAGAACAGAAAGGCAGTGTTTGCACAGTGAGACAGCTTAGGGAGCAGGAATGCATAGGAAAGAAGGACACAGGGAAGAGGTAACTACAGGGAGGAAGTGGGAAGAAAGCTGTTACATTGTGAGGGATTTCAGTCAATGTTACGAAACTAAATGTATACGAACGGCTGTATGGAAAATGAATTTGCTCTGTAAACTTTCACCTAAATCACAATCAAAATTACAAATAAATAAATAAATCACCCCAGTTTCTTCTAGGGTTGCCTCCAACCCATCTAGACCTTCTTCCTCAGACCTAGGCTAACTTTCCCCAGTTCAATGACTGGTCAGCACCAAGAAGCTTTGAGGCCATGAGAGTCCATCTTTGACAGAGTTCATCACTGACACACAGAACCCCTTGAATGAGGTGGTTACCTGTCATACCTTCTCTTGTTCAGATGGGGAGAGTGAGGTACAGAGAGGGACAGAGTCTTGTCCAGCATTACACAGCAACTCTGGTCCATCCCCCTCATCCCAAATCACCCCCTGATCCAGCTGCATGCACATACCTCTCTCAGTGAAAGCCTGGTCGCCACGCTCCTGAATCCTGCTGAACAACTCACCACCTTCCATGCTGCAAGGCAAGGTGATGATGGTAAGTGAGCAGGGCGGGGAGGTATCAGGTATCCTTCAGGGAAAAGCCACAATCATCATCATGACCATTACTGAGCACCTAATGTGTGCCATGCTCTGGGCTCAGTGGTTCTGCACTGCTGTGTGACCCTGGGCTTATCCCTTAACCTCTTGGTGCCTCAGCTTTCTCTTCTATAAAAAGTGGGTAATAGCACGAACCTCACAGAGTTGCAAAGACTGAATAAGCGATGCATGTAAAGTGCTTAGACTGGATGGGTCAAGCACAGAGTAAACGTAACATGAATATCTTTCTCCACATTTTACACATGAGTTACAGAGACCCAGAGAGGTCAGCAGCTGCCCCAGGTCACATAGCTAGTGAGTGGCAGAGCTAGGATCTGAATATCAAACCTAACTCAAGAGCTAGCTGACATGTGTGTATGTGTGGTAGGGAAGAGGGGAAAGCTTGATAGGCAGCCAGGGAGGAACTGGGGACCCAGGGTCTGAGGAAGATTAGAATTGAGAGCCACATGTTACTGAAAGAAGCTCAAAGTAGAGGAAGCCACTGGCTCCTGCCTCTAGCCTCCAATCACCCAGCATCTGGCATGGCAACGGGAGTGCAGACCCAGGCAGGAAGGAGAAAGCTGAGGGGCTATGTGTGTCCCACTCGTCCCCAAGTCTCCCTTATCCTGCACATTCAGGGCTTGATGGCCTTCCCTGATGGCTCTTCCAGCCTCTCTTCACTGAGGGGAATCATACCCAGGGAGACCATATTAGAGCCCCTTGAGGGAATGCCCTTGTGGCCAGACCTACTGCCCCAAGGCAGACCTTGAATTGACTCCTCAGGGACTGGGATGGCAACTAGAGCTGCTATCTCAAGAATGGAGAAGGCCTCTAGCAGAATGGGGCACCATGGGGTTCTGAGGCAGGGTGGGTTGGCATACCATTCCATGACGATGAGGAGACAGCGCTTGCCATGATGCATATTCTCATACACGTCCAGAATACGCACAATGTGGGGGCCTCCTGAGGCCTGACAGTGGTGGTCCACTTCCTGCCGGGCTTTGGGGCTGTCGTACAGGAGCTATGGGTTGGTAGGCACAGAGAATGTCAGGTCCACAGCCCACCTCCCTGGAAGCCACTACCCTCACCTCTGCAGACAAGGATACAGCTCAGTGAGGCCTATGACCTGCCCAAGGTCACAAAGCTTATGAGAAGCAGAATGAGGATTCAAATCCAGGTTCCCCTGATTTGTGGTCCAAGGAGTCTCTGGACCTGAGGGTCAGCCCTGGACTCAAGCAGCTTGGCCAGGCACAGGGAGGCCCTGGGAGGTGGCTGACAATCTACAAGGGCTCAGAAATCAGAGAAGCCCCTGCCTCTCTTCTGAGGGACAGCAAGTGAAGCAGAATTTGAGTGGGTTTTAGAGTCAAATCACACATCAGCTATGGGACCCTCAGCTAGGGACCACAACTCTTGAGGCTCAGTTTTCTCATCTTTACAGCAGGATGACATGAGTGTGACCAATATAAGTCATGGGTTTAAAATACACAGGATGACACCTGGCACACAGTAAGTCCTCAGCACCTCCCCTGCAATTCTCATCCAATGCCTCTACGTAAAAGAAAGTGGCAGGCACCTGAAAAGGCTAAGGAAGGGGGAGGATGAGCTGATGTAGAAATCTGTCCTATAGAGGTCCCACTGTGACAGGAAAGCTGGAGCATCAAGGAAGGCTTCCTGAAAGAGGGATTGAGGACTGTGCTCCTCAGTCCATCCTTCACCAGCTCTTGGCTTCAAGGAACACAGTCCAGAGTGGAGAGAGTCCAGGTCACACTCCTGAAGGAGTGAAGGTAATTAAGACTTCAAATTCTCTAAGAGTGAGTACAGGAATGAAACTGCTGCTGTTGAGAAAAATGCTTCTAAAATGAGTTGCTTGGTCATCACCTCTCATGAGTCCCAATTAGTCTCCAGCTTCCCAGGCAACTTCTCAGCCCCCCTGGGAGCCACTGTGCAGAACGACAAAATGTCATCCTCACCACCAGAGAGGTGGGGCCACTTCAAGGCTTGGCCCTCCTCCCATACCTACAGACCTCAGCACACAGGGTGTGGATCCAGAGGTAGGGTCTGGAAGCAGGGAGGACTCTGGTCTAAAGAAAGTGTTGTTGATGTTGTTGTTGTGATGTGCTGTCGAGTCATCTCTGACTCATAGTGACCCCCTCCTTGGGATTCCAAGGTGGCATCTCTATGGAAGTAGACTGGCCAATCTTCCTACTGGGGAGTGGCTGGTGGGTTTGATCCGCCAACCTTCTGGTTAGAAATCAAGTGCCTTAAGCGCTATACCACTGGAGCGCCTTCTAAAAAAAGTGAGCCAGGTCAAATGAGATCTGGGTTTGGAACTGAATTACCCCAGTGATTCAGTGAGACCTGAGGCAAACTCCTACCCCACAGGGCTGCCCATCCATGGCCAAGACACATTCTGTTTCCCAGGTAAGGAAGGCTAGGACTAGGACTGATGACCAAGACCAGGGCTCTAATTAGCCCCCCCTCTCAGCACCTGTAGGACTTCAGGCTGCCTCTGGCCTTGAGTTTCCTCCTCTATAGGATGGGAAGCGCCAGGCCACTTCACACAGGGCACTGTGTGGGACAGAGTCTGGGACCAAGCTCTCTAAGCAAAGATGAACTGGGATGGTGTCAGAGGGAGGGGCAAAGACAGGTGGCTTCACCACATCTGCTGTCCCCAGCTGCTCCTCAATCTCTGGGGGTTGCTCACTTTTGCACCCAGCAGTTTGGGAGTGCAGGGAATTAGGGGCCAGGCAAGTCCCTCTACCAGCTCTGGGGCAGGCTCCTGTTCCACTACCTCGGCCAGGATTAGGAGAGGCTACTATGAGCAAATACCTCCCCTCTGAACACCATGGATCACCTTCCTCATGCTGCCCTTGCCTCCCAGAATGCCCTTCGGTTCCACGCTCACAGAGCCCTCTAGTACCACCAGCTGCTTGTCCCACAATACTGGGGCAGAGGGCTCAATCACCCCCACTCAGCCCACCCCACCATGTCCCAAGGCAGCTCTAGCCAGGGATGCCCCAGTCCTTAGCCCACAAGACCCAAACACCCTTCTCTCTGCTTTGCCTTCTCTGCACCCCTTCCCTGCTTTGTCTCCTAACTCTCTCCTCACCTCTACCACCTCCTTCTCTGACCATCTCCTGTCTGGGGCCCAGACTGGCTCCTGGAGCCCCTCCTCACTCTGCAGCCTATGGTGTCTCACCCCCATGCCAGCATCCTCTCTCTAATCTCATAAAATCTCAAGCCCACGGCCAGAATATTTTCAGTAGAGTCCTCAGCCCCACCTCTCTCCCTCTGGGCCTTATCCAAGTGTGGCCACAGACCACCTCCTTATTCTTCAAGTCTCCCCACCATTCTCTAGATAAAGGCCATCTCCACCCCTGGGCTGGAGGCCTGCCTTCCTCTCTCACCTCATTTCCCACTACCCTTGACCCCTAAAACCTTTTTGTTCTAGCCAGAATGATCTACTTGCTTTTTCCAAACAGGCCTTGTTCTTCCAAGTCTCTATGCCCAGGCCTGTGGTTTCTCTGCTATAATGTACTCTTACCCTGAATCTCAGGGTCCAGTTACATGTCTACTCCTTTGGGAAATCCTTCCAGCTCCTCCCCCAAGTCAGCTTTCCTCTCTGTCCTTTCTACCAGGCTAGGAGCAGGGCAAGGCCAGAGAGGCCAGGTCAGGTTGAGCTGGAGGGTCCGTGGTTGGAACCTAGCAGCACTGGGCTCCTGAACAAACACAGGGTGGGAGGATGAGCACAGAAACAGAAGAAAGGAGGTGTGGGAGAGAGAGAAAGAGGGAGTTGGGTGGCCAAGGAGGAGCAAGAGAGCCTCCTGGCCTCAGCATGAACTTTGCGCTTTGTTGAGGCAGGGGAGCAGGTGGAGCTGCCCTGAGTTGGATCCTCTCACTGCCTCCTGCCCCACTCAGCCCATATTTAGGAACCCATTTCCCACACAGATTAAAATAGTCTTTCCCCAAGTGCTAAGGCCCTGAAAATAGGCAGAAGGGCGGAGAGAGGGACGACCCCAGAAAATACAGTAAGTGCCCCCACTTATTGCAGGAAAGATCACACACAGAGCCAGCGCCCAGCTAGGAGCAGGACCTCCAGCCCTTCGCTGGACCAGCTGCCAAGGAAATGCCCCAGGCCATCATCCCTGACTCCTCGAGTTGACCTTGGCTATAGCCCCAAACCTCTTAGAGCCTCAGTTTTCTCATCATTCATTCCAACGGCCAAAGCCATCTCACTCTCCAGGACTCTCCCCAATGTCACCTCCTCTCACTCCTCTCAAAGCCCCTCCAGGCCACCCTGCCTAAAGTGGACTTCAGGGGCTCCTCACTCTCTCTCCTCCCTTTATGTTCCTTTCTTTCTATATATGCTTTGTTTATTGAGGTATAATTTACACACAGTAAAATACACAGATCTCAAGAGTCCAGTTCAGCGAGTTTTGACAATTGCACCCAGCCCTGTGACGACCCCCACCCCCACCAAGACAGAGAACATTTCCAGTTCCTCTGAAAGCTCTCTCGTCATCTCTCTTTTTACCTCCTGTGCAGCACTTGCCTACAACCTACAATTAGCTTGTTCCTTTGATAACTCCTAAAACAAACACACACACACAGCACTTATAGTGTGCCCAGCTCTGTTCTCAGCACTTTATAAATATTGGGAGGAAAGAACTTCATTACCACCACTTTTAAGATGACAAAACTAAGGTGCAGAGAGGGGAAGTAACTGGCCCCAGACCACACAGCTGTTCTCCAGCCAGGCTAGTGCCATGTTGTCACCCTTATTAGATTGTGGGCCCACCAGTTGTTGTTGTTGTTGTTGTTATGTGCCGTCGAGTCAGCCCTGATTCATAGCACCCCTCCTTGGGTTTCGAGGCAGTATCACTACGGAAGTAGGATTGCCCAACCTTCCTTCCAAGAAGTGGCTGGTGGGTTTGAACCGCCAGCCTTCTGGTTAGTAGTCAAGTGCCTTAGCCACTATGCAACCAGAGGGCCCACCAGGGCACGGCTAAATCTGCCTGGTCATTGCTAGGTCCCAGCGCCTACAGGGGCCTGGCACAGAGCACTGGCTCAGGTAATATTTACAGATTTAATGAATAAATCTATAAAGTGGGGAGAGAGTGAGGGGGAGAACATCCCACAAGTCATCATGAGCACAAAATGAGGGGAAGAACATCCCACAAGTCATCGTGAAGACAAAATAAGATTAAACAGAAGAGGCCCCAGAGAGAGGCTCAACAAATGGGAGCCAAAACAACCTGGCCAAACTTGCTTCTCACTGCCCAGGGGCAGACTGTACCTACCTTACCCGCCCTCTCTGGTGAACCAGACTTTAGATCATCTTCTAGGGAGCCCATCCTAGGGCCTGCTCTAGACATGAGGTTATTGCTACAGGCTGGCCTCACTCATGCACGTACATGACACCACACTGTGTCCCCTGAGCATGCGCCCCATCTTCCTGGGCATGGGAATGAGCTGAGGGTCAGGAGGCAAAGGCCTGGATCTAACCCCATTCTAGTATGACCTTGGGCCAGTCCCTCTGCCTTTCTACACCTCTGTTTTCCAAAGGTTAAGCTTCAGGTCTTGGGCTAGATGGGGCAGACACATAAATAATAGGGACCTCTGGACTGGGGCACCTTGCTCCTAGACCCACTCCCACATAACCTCCCAATAAAGAACACCTCCTGGGTCTCCATGAACCTGTATCTGCATGCCTGGGCCCACTGAGGGCCACTTGGAATGGGTAATGGTATTTCAGTCCCCAATCACAGCTGAGAGGATAGGGAGATAGGGGGCCTTCTGCCAACTCAACAGATGCCCCCACTCTTGCTTCATTCCCATCCTATGTCCTATGGGCCCCCAAGAGCCCACCAAAGCTGAAAGACCTGTGATGGCACTTGGGCAGCTCCATGGCTCCAGCTTGCACCTGGCAGGTGTCCCACATGCACACATCCATAGGGTGGGACCCTGGTCCTGGTGGGAGGGAGGTCCTGGCTATACTTGAGGTGTGGATCCCAACTGAAG